GGAGTATGTGTGGAGTTGTGTGTTCACATGCTTTAATCTGATTGAATCTTTTCGCATCGGTGCACACCCCGGAGAGTAGTAGCTGTAATGACCCGCCAAAACACAGACTAAGAACAGTGCTGATTTCTGGGATTCGCCGCTGGAATGAATGCCTTGCTGAGATTCCCGCATTCTGCTGTGGTTTCCGAGTCTGTGTGTGTGCGTGCTTGCTGGTTTGCGTGCGTGTCTGAGTGCTTGTCGGCTGAGTGTGTGTGACCCGCAAGGGTACTTGTTGGTTAAAAGGCCCCGCAGGGCCGGTACTTACCTGTGGCCGTGACTTTGAGGGTTGCAGCGGAGAAAAACACTCAATAGCGGGGGTAGGCCCGCGACACTTAGAGCAGCGGGGGAAAAACACTCTAGCAGGTAGGCCGCTACCACTCAAGTAGCGGTAGAAGTGCCGGGTACTGGAGGCCGAGCAGAAGAAGACAAAAAGTTGGGAGTTTTAGAGGCCCAGTAGTGGCAGGATAGAGGTAGGCCGGTACCAGTCCAAGTAACCTGAGTCTAGGGCCTGTCCGGACGATAGCAGAGCCTGCAATGATGTTTCCCTCCGAAAGGGAGGAGGTACCAGTTGCTGGGAGGCTGCTCGGCCTAGGAAGTCACCGCCCAAGAGGCCAGTAGGCCGCTATATCTTTCGGAGGAGCAGAGCAGCTCCTCCTCATTGGCGGTATGCAAGGATTGGCGACATGCTGCTGTGCCAAGCGCTGGACTTGTGCAGCGCTGCCTGGAGGTGAAGAGCAGCTGGGCGCTCAGCCTGGCTATGTCGAGCAGTCCAGCTTGAGGAGGAGGAAGAAGGGGGCGAAGGAGGAGAGTGGCGAGGTACCTACCTGGCTATGGTGGACACTATCTTCATCACCTTGTTGGCGCTACATCTGGAAGGCCCCAGTTGGGGTAGTGCTGCACCAAGGAAGCTCGAGGCAGAGTCAGGCATGGCGGCTTAGTCTGCAGCGGCATAGCTGCTTTGGGTTGTCCTTTGGACAGGAGTGCAGCGACATAGCTGCGTTGTGTTGTCCTTTGCACAGGAGGGCAGAGCCCTCAGTTGTCCGCCATAGCCTAGGCTTGTGAGAGGTGGAAGGGGGGGAAGCCATAGCTATGGTGGACCTATTGTGATGTCATCAGTAAGAGGGAACATCGGTTATTGATTCTGGTTCATCCACTCATAGTTATTTTTATTATTGGAAGAAGAATAAGATTGGGGAAGTGAAGGAGGAGGAGGAAGGTGGAGAGAGAAGGGGGATTTGTCATTGGTCTTGCTGGTGCACTTCTTCTTCTTCTTCTTCTTCTTCTTCTTCTTCTTCTTCTTCTTCTTCTTCTTCTTCTTCTTCTTCTTCTTGATGCCAGTTCAGTCCTTTCTTCTTCTTCTTCTTCTTCTTCTTCTTCTTCTTCTTCTTCTCCTCCTCCTTCTTCTTGTTGATGTCAGTTCAGTCCTTTCTTGGAGAATATACTCTTTTTTTTGGACAAGGAGAAATGAATGACATTGGCTTTCCCTTGTCTCCCAGCTTTGACTGAGTAGGAAGTATGAGGAGCTGTGATACTCCTCTCTTTTGAAGGGGCCGATACCATATGGTCATATCTCCTGGTTACCAGGGGATGCAACCTGGTTACAGTTGATGGGGACAAGGCCCTATTATGCTTCCCATTCTCATTCTTGTTCTTGTTGTTTGTTCTTGTTCTTGTTCTTGTTCTCGTTCTTGTTCTGCTGCTTGGAACGACAAATGAAGGGAAGAGCACAAAAAATGGGAGGGGGACTGGTACTTGGGACGAGGCCCGCATACACATTATATTGATGTATGGTGGGGGTTTATCTTCCAACCTTCGAAGGCTCACTTGCCTGAATAGGAATCTGATACGGGTTCCATGCTGCCGGTTTTGTTTTGGTGCAGGAATATATACCTCCACACCCATGGTACTCACACTTGCTCAAGAGTAGGCAGGAGTTGGGATTTGAGGTATGGTCAAGACTGCTCTACCCTACCTGCCCCATGTGGCTGAATGGTACACACATGTAACTGTTTGTCACCACGTCCGGGTTGCAAAATTTGATGGAATCAGATGAACACAAGACAGCCCTGGCTTGGTTCAGCAGGAATCTCAATTATCCACAATACTGCAAGAACGTGTTTTTTTCCCCGTGTGTGTGTGTGTGTGTGTGTGTGTGTGTGTGTGTGTGTGTGTGTGTGTGTGTGTGTGTGTGTGTGTGAGAGAGAGAGAGAGAGAGAGAGAGAGAGAGAGAGAGAGAGAGAGAGAGAGAGAGAGGCTATTGATAGTCTAATGGCTTGCTTGGTTCCTTGTGAACTAAGGCTGAACGCAGGAGGAAAGTATGTGTGGACTCCTTAATGTTCTGCTCTTGTCTCCACATGTGATATTCTGCTCGTGTCCTCGCATGATCTTCTGCTCGTCTCCGCATGTGATCTTCTGCTCGTTGGGTTCGCTTGGTTTTGTGAACTTGACAGCCTGTGGGCCAAAAAAAATGAACCGGCGTGGCCTACTTTTGGTTGGCGCCGCCAGCCATTTTGCTCCGGATACTGATCCCCGAAAGTTGCGGCGTGTTAACGCGAAGTGAGAGGCGGTTAATGGAGACCCTATTTTTCAGAAAACTTGTCATGCCATTTATAACAAAATCTAAGGGTCATTTTGACCAAACTTGACACCAAGTCATAGAGTAGAGACCATAGTTACTAGCTGCAAAAACAAAATCGAAACCCCCCCCCCCCCCCCTATAAAACAGCAAGGCAAAAGTGCACTTTCATGCAAATTTCGCTGACATCCAGTTTCAGAAATCTTAGCAGATGAAATCCCAATACTCCAAATGAGACCAAATTTGGTACACAACAACCGTGAACCAAAAGAAAAACAGGCAAAAAAAAATATTAATAATAAAATTTGACCCCCAAACCCTAATTTCAGTTTTGGACCTGTTAGTCAGGAGCTGAAACTGGGGGTCCCCGTTAACCACATGTGCGTGAATACCTGTGGCCGATGTATACGGGGCAAGTACTGGTGGTTTAAGGTGATCGTGGGTGGAAAGTCCATGCAAATGGTGGGTGGATGGAATCTCAAATGTGATGTTCTTGTCATCCCGTTTGTTAGTTTTGTGGGATGATTGCTACTTATGTATGGAGTGATTTTGAGCACTTCAAAAAGACATGATACGACTTCACCTCAGTCCTTTGTTTTCTTTTCTTTTTGCCACGCTAGGAGGTGTGATATGAGCACCCCTTCCTAGCGGGCTGCCTGGTTGCTCCAATCCATTGGTGGGGAGCTGGAAAATGGGTCCAGTGTCCCACTGAACAACTCAAGGCTGAATTTCACTGTGTCTCCTGCCAGCATTGATTTCCCGTGTTAACGGGGATCGACTGTGCAGGCACTGCCCAACGTAACCAAATAACACGGTCCTATGCCTGCCAAACATAACCAGATAACAAGATGCTGTAGGGGGGTAGCCACTCCATCTTCGTCTTCACAGTGACCCTGCCCTTCCTTTTCCAGTCCTGCGTTTGCCCGGCCAGTGACTGATTCTACTGTGATAGTCTGAACTCCCTTTGTCTATGAAGGTGAGAGGGAGATCATGGCAGAGGGAATTGGGTCAGAGGAGAAGGGATAAATGTTGGCATAGACGGTGAAGGTGCCAGCTTGCCCCCGGTGGTGGTGTTTTTCCTTAGAGATCACTTTCTTGCATACTTGCAAGCGGACGCCGTCCGGGCGGTTCCGCACGTGTGGCAGACCGCCGGACCGGACCCGCGCGGCGCACGAATGTGCGCCCGACGACCAGTCACGCCTCCCCCTCCCCCCCAAAAAAAAAGATGGCCCTGTCCGGTCTGCTCCGGGTCCGTCTGGTCCAGGGGGAGGGTGCCACACGTGGCAAAGCGGACCGGACTGGACACTCGTCCGGTCCGTCTGCTTGCAAGTATGCTTTCTTGTAAGGTGTTCATCCTGACCAAAGAACCGAAAACAGATGTTGAAATGAAACAGGATCTCTTCCTCCTGCAGGATAGTGGTATTATTTAAATTCCTATCAGTAGTTAAGACTAGTATCTGTGAGACCTTTGTGAAGATGCAAGTTACACTTCGATTCCTAGATCTTCCTTAATTATCTCCTACAGGGGCAAAAGCTCTTTCCTTAATTATCTCCTACAGGGGCAAAAGCTCTTCGACCAACATGGGAAGGGAGAAGCAATGATAGCAAGGTAAATCCTTGTGGAACTCCCATTAGGTTGGTTTGAGTCTATCGTACACTCTAGATTACCTACTGTTAGTTCTCTGCGTGTTGCTGTCACCATTGTTGATGGATGGTCTTATCATCGATGCACAGTTTGGGGCCGTGGCGATCTCAGAGAAGGTTAACTGAGGCCTGAATCTCTAGAAATTTCTCATGCCATTTATAAGAAAATCCGAAGGGCTTTTTAATGAAACTTGTTGTCCATACATAGAGTGCACACCATACTAAGTTA